AAAAATTTTCTTTTTTCCGAAATCTTTCAATCCCTTGATTTGAGTTCAAACAACCCCGAAGGTGTATCCGAATCCCTCAAACCAGGGCTCTGATACCAACTTGTAACATTCCAAAAATACGTGCCAAAAATTTCATATTTGAAAACATATACTTAGCAAAACATTCGAAATAAAACATTCACCGATCATAACATTCTATAAAGATATCGCATGTCTGGAAAAACATTTTCATAAAACATAATAATGTCAGAGTACAAATCCCCAGGAAGATCTCATAGTGCGAAATACAGAGCATGTGTGTGATGGGCCGCTACCGCGCCAACTCTTTCCCCTTCGAAGAAGAGGTACCTGAAACCAAAACTGAAAACTGTAAGCACGAAGCTTAGTGAGTTCCCCCAACATACCACATACCATACAATCACATAACATACATATATTGTCAGGCATATCTGGGTACCCGACCTGCCCCTTTGGTCCTCTCGACCGGATACTGTCTAGGATATCTGGGAGTTGGCCTCCCCTTCGGTCCTCTCGACCAGATACTGACCATTATATCAGGGAGCTTGCCCCCCCCCCTTCGGTCCTCTCGATCGGATATTGACTAGCATATCTGGGTGCTGGTCTCCCCTTCGGTCCTCTCGACCGGATACTGGGGACTATTTCATCCCTCTACTACTACCACATAACACATATATATCATAATCTATCTAGCATGGCTGGGCATGACCGCCCCTTCGGCCCTATCGACCGGTATACTGGGGACTATCTCCCCCTACTATCACTAGCACATATCATCATATCATACTAGCACATATCATCATATCATACTAGCACATTAGCATATCACAGGTAGTAGCAATCCTAGATGAATATCACAGAGACAAACATCTATCATACAATCCTACTGGTGACCCAATCGTTCTTCATTCTACTCGCCGAGTTGTATGAACAACTCGTCGAGTTCGTCTTCATCTAAATAACACTCTATGCTTAGACTCGCCGAGTTGTATTAACAACTCGCCGATTCCGTTCTTGAGGCAAGAAGATTTCCTTGAACTTGCCGAGTCATCGCATTGACTCGCCGAGTTACTACATGAGTGAGTCTGGCTTCCAACCCACTGGGCCACACCCTATGACTCACTACTCCAACCCGCAAACACGAAAAGGGGGGAAACTCGGGGACTCACGACTCGACTCGCCGAGTCAGATGAACTACTCGCCCAGTCTGCCGTATGCAAATACTATACACGCGATTCTGCTTGAATCCAGCCCATGCGATTCATAGATCTGGGTTCCTAGGGCCTGGTTTACACGTAAAGTTTCCAACTTTATGTGTAAATAAACACCCATGAGAGTTTTAGGGCTCAAAATGCACCAAAAGAGTAGATCTAGGGCTTTCATGCACTATGGTTCCATAAAGGCAGTAGATCCAAGCTCTTGGAGCTCAATCATGCCTAGATCTAGAGGCTAAACAACTTATCATGAACTCTAATACACAAACAAGCTTGGGGAAAGGCTCAAGAAGGACTTTCATGGGGCTACAAGGGATAATAAGCATGAAAACAGAGGGAAACTAAGTTATACCTCAAGGAAATCACTGAGATAACACCAATATGCCTGGCCTCCTTCTTCTCTTCTTGATTTACTCTCCTTCCATCTCCAAATCTTCAAGAAAACACACCAAAATGCTTCAATCTCACAAGGAACAGGCTTGAATGAAGTATAAGGCTCTGGGGGGGTGAAGGGGGCGAGCTTAGGGGCGGATAAGAGGGTTTAAATAGGGTGCAAACCCTTGAAATTTAGGGATTCATCAGACATCGGGGACTCGCCGAGTCGCCAACTTAAACGTGTTCCGGATCCCGTCTCTACTCGGCGAGTCGAACCTACAACTCGCCGAGTCCAAGGCTAAAAATGTAAAACATTAAGATAAATTTTATGTACCAGGAACCGGGTGCTACAAGTAATATATTTTTACATACGATCTTTATATCCATGTGTTTTTATGAATGTATGTATGGACGATTTTTGATAAAATCGTAAGTAAAAATATATTACTTTTTAACTAGAGTAATCTTAATGAAAGTTATAGTAGACTCAAATACGAACGCGTGGATATAAAGATCGTTCAAATCCGAGATCGTATGAAGAAGTTACGATGTTTTGAACACAACACCTAAGACAAACCATAAAACCTAAGCAATCAAGCAGTCAAAGTTGCGATGAACATAAGCATCAACAGTCCCAAATACTTCATTAATGACTCTCCAATGTATGATTTTGTGAGAAAAACCTAAAGAAATTAGTTATGAGTACTGAGTGTGTACAAAAACAACTAACACTTATTTTGCAACAAAAAAAAAAAAAAAAAAAAAAAAAAAAAAAAAAACTTAATGACTAAATGTGCAAAAAAATATTAAGGACTAAATGTGTACAAAGTAAGAAATATATTACCTTATTAAATCATTTTTCTCGACTTATCTAGAGTAATATGTCATAAGGACTAAATGTATACACTTTAACAAATTGAAAGGACAAATGTAGGAGGAAAAAAATTTAGTGACAAAATGTATACAAATTAAAAAGGTGTATTACATTTTTAAGTCATTATCCCCTAAAAATATTATGCCACCTATACCTTAAGTACAACTTCTACCATGGAACTTACATCACTTTTTTTCAAAGTCTAAGCTATCAAACATTTCAAATAGATTAGAAAATTAATTATTAACAACACTATATCATTATTTTTTGAAATAGATATTTTTTATTTGGTATTACATTCGAAATTAAACACCAACAAAAAAAATATATTGGCATGTTATACTAACCAATTTAGATATGAACCTAATTTCACATATTACTCAATCTATTTAAAGAGTATTATCTAATGACATTAGAGAAATATTTTCGATTATGAAATAGATTAGAGGTTTTCATATATTTTGTAAAGATGAGAGATCAAGAGCTACTCTACGTCCACTCTCATCTCTTTGAGTAGGATAAATCAATTGTAGTTTTTGCATCATTCATATAAATCTTAGTTTATAAGATTCTTAGTTCATTTGTATGTCAAACTAGGAGCCAAAATGGCTGGGTTTAGTTTTGCTTAGACTAAAATTGAAAATTGAAAACGTACAATAATGTTCAACTTTTGACTTTTAAAAAACTATACCATCGGTTTTTTCAGGGTTCTTTCGAGTTCTTGTTTTTGTTAGTATAGTTTTTCAATATATTGTATGTTCATTAATTTTGTTTTTAACGTATTTCTTAAATTTGAAATATAAATATTAACATTTTTTGTTATTTCAGTTTGATTTATTTTTCTTGGTTTTTTGTTTTGGGAAAATGACCTTTGAGGGTAATAAAGTCTTCGATAAGTACTCATTTAGTCCCTTATCATTTTTTTTGTCTTTATTATACCATTGAACTTAATAATCCTGCTCACCAAAACCCTCGATACCGTTTTTTGTAGGTTACTGCTTATGTGGATATTATGTGGCATTATGTGACATAAACTGGGCTAATTAATTGCAAAGTTGCAGTACTGCATCATTCTTGCCCTATATCGACATGGATGCTTATTGTACTTATTCTATTTCTTCCAAACGAAATGCTGAATTTCAACCCGAAAATCCTTGTTACTGTGGGTTACGATCTCGTGTACGAACTTCATGAACTAAAGACAATCCAGGAAAAAAAATTCAGATTGTGCCCTAACTCCATGGTAAAACAAATATTTTTTACTTTTCATTTAATCTTCTTTCCTTAACCAATTTGTTACTTTTTTCAAGAATGAAGGACCAAAATGCAAGTTCTAGGAATGGTTTGAGCATGAAACTCCTAAAAATTAAGTTAGTTTTAGGAAGGACAAAAAGAGCTGTGCAATTTGACCATCAAAGTTTCTATATTGGAAAACGAGATCAACATATGTAAGATGAAAATGGAACAAGAAAATTTTGGTTGTTAGACAAGAGTTTGAAAAAATCAAATGGATGCTATTTGCTCATTAAGTTCTGATGACTGTGTTCTTTCTATTGTTTGTGTTTAAGAAGTAGTTAGTGAAGTTGTATTCAATGACAATGTTGTATTTTATTTGATGCATTAAGACTAAATCTTTTTGATTAATGATAGTTTGATGTTTTGAGTGGTTTCAAAGAAGTATTAATGTGTTTAACAGGTTAGTAAATTGGACATGATGCAGGGGTAAAATGGTCCAGATTAAATTTGGCAGTAATCAATTGTTAATGTCTTGATGTGATCCAAGGGTAAAATGGTCCACATTAACCACATTGGATACATCAAACATTTCTTAATGTATTAAGACAAAATCTTTTCGATTAATGATAGTTTGATGTTTTGAGTGATTTTGAAAGAAGTATTAATGTGTTTAACAGGTTAGTGAATTGGACATGATGCATGGGTAAAATTGTCCAGATTAATTTGGCAGTAATCAATTGTTAATGTCTTGATGTGATCCAAGGGTAAAATGGTCCACATTAACCACATTGGATACATCAAACATTTCTTAATGTACTAAGACAAAATCTTTTTTGATTAATGATAATTTGATGTTTTGAGTGGTTTCAAAGAAGTGTTAATGTGTTTAACAGGTTAGTGAATTGGACATGATGCAGGGGTAAAATGGTCCACATTAAATTTGGCAGTAATGATAGATAATATAAGATTAAACATTTCTTAATTAATGATAGATAATATAAGATTAAACAATGTATATGCAAATAAACAAACACCAAAGCATACAGATAAAAGATAAAGTTGTAATATTCCATCAGCATGTGCACCATTACAAAAGTTGTGCCTACAGTTGTTCTAATGTGTCAAAAGTTGTGCCATGTGCCATGATTCTTAAAGTTTTCCCAATTACATAATTAAAAGACTAAAAGTTTGTCTTTCGAAAAATATTTAAACATAAAATCATTCCAACACCATTAGGTGGTGATCAATGCTTCGTTCTTTCATAAAAACCTTCCTCCTCAACCCTATGTTGGTAATTTTTTTTGAGTATTTTCGTATCCTCTACCTAGTTGCAACTGGTTGAGCAGGGACATCATTAAATGATCATCTACTTGGGCATTAACATTTGGATGTGGATCATCTACATGAACTGGTTCAACATGTTGAGATGGATCATCAACTGGTTCAACATGTGGAGCCGGATTTACTTCAATTGGATCCACTTGAGCTGGATCCACTTAATCTGGGTCCACTTTACATGCTATACAAAGATGTAGTTAATGAGTTGGTTGTTGCAATTTAATTATATTATTTTAATTTTAATAGCATTCCTTTCTCTTTTTTACATTTTTTACATTTTTTAGGTTTCTTGTTTTTTGGCCTTGAAGTGGATGCTACATCTACTAGTCTAGTAGGACATGTTGATCTATTGTGGCCCCTTTCTCTACAAATAGTGCATCTATTAACTGTACCTACTTTTGAGCTAGTATGCCTTTTTTTCCCTTTGCTTTCCCTCTCAGATTGATCCATTTTCCTTTTAAGGGTTGGCCTTCCTGGTAACCTTCTTTTTTGAGGAGGCAATGGCTTCATGTAGGGAGCTTCAAGCCACATGGAACTACCATTAAGTAGATTAATGGTATGGTTGTAACAAATCAAGAACATGGCTGTATGGAACCATGGTGCAACATAATCCTCTGCATTCTTGTTGTGGTATAAAATGGTTTCCACTGCATGCTCACATGGGATACCTGATACTTGCCAAGATCTACATCTACATGTGTTTTTGGTAAGGTCCACAACATATCCATCATTTCCAATCCTAACCTCATATTTTTGTACACCAGAAGGTATAACTCCCCAAAATCTATCCATAAGAATAACAAGTTCTATTAAGCTACTAGATGGCATAATAATACTTATAAAATACAAGTTATATCATACCTTTGCTGTTTCTTTAACTTTTATATCTTTAATCATATAGATTGGCATATTTTTAAATTACCCCAACTTTGTCCCTATAACAACATTCTATACATCCTCTCCATTGAATAAATCTGAATCACTTCCAACATGGTGAGGAGTGGTCTCTTCCTAGCAAGATCAATAACAAAGTTGAAAATTTCTGACATGTCATTCTCATAAGCATCACAAGCCCTATCCACCTCAAAGAATGGCATGCACCAACTTTTAGGGTCCCTTTCCATGAGGTGTTCATAAGCTAAAGGGTCAATTTTTTATGGAATTCATTTCTGCCTCAAATTTAGGTTGAGTAGTACTAGCAGCAGCTGCCCCAAAACAACTTCCTATATTGTTCACTTTTGAATCTTTTCTTGAAGTTAGCATAGATGTGCCTAGCACATTGTCTATGCCTCTACCAATCCCTAAAAGAAACAAGAAATGGATGACATAACAAAAAACATTGAACTCAAACAAAACATTAAAAAAAATATATATACCTTGTGTTGGTCTGATATGAGGGTCAATCCATGACCAATTCCTATTTCAATGTCATCCAGTAGGAGGTCAAGAAACTACTTCCATGTTTCCTTATTTTCTACTACCACCACAACCGATGCAATATGGAAGATGTGGTTGTCTGCATCCCTGCCCATAGCTACTAATAGTTAGCCTCTACATATACCCTTTAAAAAACAACCATCTACCCCTTTTACCCTTCTACATGCTGCAATCCAACCATCCTTCACACCCTTAAAACAAACATACATTTTAGAAAAGTAAGTGGTGGAATCAGGCATGACATTCACATCTGTCTTTACTGTTGAACTAGGATTTGTCCTCATTATTTCTTCACCATAACTCCATACTTTACCATAATGTTCTATCAAACTACCCTCTATCTCATCCAAAGCATATCTCCTAGCATTTCTACTTTGAGTCACACTAACAATCAAGTTAAACTTTGTACTCATTTTGGATTTCATTTTCCTTATGCTCATTTTGGGGTTCTTCAAAAGCTGATTCTTAAAACGCTTTCCAATCCATTTATATGTTACAATGGAACCAAGTTTGAAGACTCTTGAACAGTTATGGTCATCAACTAAGGACTTAATCCGGAAAGACCTTTCACTACTCATCCAGGAAGCCCACAGTCTAAAAGGACAAGAAGGATTCTTGCTATCTTTACAACATCTCACTAATAACCTCTGACCATCATTTTTCTCATAATAAAGCTTGTACCCATTCTTCACTGCATAGTTAGTCAAACAAAATTTCAATTTCATAGGGTTAGAGAATCTCATACCTAGAATTGGCACCATTTTGTCTCATTTATGGTTCTCATTATGGACAGGGGACACTGGTTTGTCATCCCCATTGTTGGTTTCAACCTCATCAGTTTCAAGCTCATCATTTTTATCCTTAGAAATACTTGACACCCGGTGTAAGAATTCATCACCAACAGTCTTGTCAAGAGAAGGAATGTAACCATCTGCCTCATGCTCATATGGAATATCATCAGAAAGTTGTGAATCTTTATCATCATCCACGTCTGGCTCAGAATAATGCACTTCATCATCTTCTAGTACTTCCATATCAGCCCAATCAAGTACAACTTCTTTTTCGTGGTCTATATACACATTCATTGTTAGACCAGCTTCATCACTATAACCCGTTTCAATAAACTCATAGTAGTCAGCATCATTCCCAATTTTCCTAATACCTTCTGCCAATGGTTCATTTCTAGTGTAGTAATATACATTATCACAACTACCTTCAATCAACTTTGCAACAAACAACTTAAACTCTTTGAGATCCATTGTACCAAAATCGACATCAAAGATTGAAACAACAACAGTGTTCAAGTACACTAATGGTTTTGGTGCGAATAAACCATTTTAATGTACATAAACTATTAAATACTTACAGAGTTCGGAATCAGAGGCCATCTTCTTCACTGTAACACTCGCATTCACCACTTCTCTTCAATTTCGTAACAGTAATCTTTGATTAAACCCTAACTGTAAGAAGAAAAGGGGGTGAAAGAGTAACATGTTTGCAATGTATTCTAGGTCCACCTAATAAGACATGTCATCTCTAATTAAATGAGATAACCGGCAAAACAGGTGATAACCGGTATCGAGGGTTTTGATGAGCAAGATTATTAAGTTCAATGGTATAATAAAGACAAAAAAAAAATTAAAAATAAAAAATAAAAAATAATAAAAAAATAAATAAAGAACCAAATGAGTACTTATCGAAGACTTTATTATCCGTAAAGGTCATTTTCCCTTTTATTTTTTGTTTGGCTTTATCTTTTTCAAACACCCCTATATAAAATATAATACAAAGTTGTTACAGTCATACACAAGACAAATCATGGCCTAATTACCCTTCGAAATGACCAATTTCCTCTCTGCATGATTTTATAGTATATGAATTATTCCGTCTTAAAGGTAATAAACAGATACTTGATAAAATATAATTCCGATATTTACTTGATATTAAGGAAACTACTCACACATCAGAGATTATAATATCAAATAGAAAATTATTTTAAACATTTAAATCAAAGAAACACTGATGTTCCCGGATCATTCACCAGGCTGTCCGATTGTTTTGGTACATGTGTGACAATTTGGTCATGTACTCTTGAGTATGCCCATCCTAGTTGTATCTATCTATGTATGTATTATTATTTTATTTAATACAAGTTGTGGGCAAACAATGGTCTTTTTTATGAATTTAATAAACATTGGATGGGCTTATTAAATTTAGTGAATCTAGTTTTTGCGCATGATAAATTGTACGGAGGACATGTGAGTTGTTGATATATCTCAGAGTGATGAGGATATATCACTGTCTATGTTTATTGAGACAATTTCTACCTTCATGGTGATGGTTGTATTTGCATAAGTGGTCCTCTAAAAACGAGTATTCTAGGTGTTGTTTTAAAATTTATTATATAATAATAATATGACAACTCTTTATAATAAAGTAGGTATAGAAAATAGTATTTGGGTATATCTTTCTCGTATTTAAAGTTGTGAAAATCCTTCAATCGATTGTTTGAAGTGTGATATACTAAGCAGTTATCATGGTCGTAATTTCAATAGCGGTCACATGCCGCTATTTGAAATCGCGGTTATCGTGGTGGTATAGCAGTGATATAGCGGTTTTTTTATATTATGTATAATTTATATTATATATTGATACAAAATTTATATATTAGATTATTAATACTATATAGAATTAATATCATAAAAAATCATATAAAAACATAACATAATCCATATATAATATTATAATATAATAATATGAAAACAAAAAAGTGTCAAAATGTCATCGTAACTCAAGTCGTTTTTGATTTCTAAGTACTAAAAGAGATGAAAAAAGGAAGTTGTCATTTAATGCTTTGTAATTTTGTAATTAATTATATTTATTATTTTTGACATATTAAAACAAAAAAATAAAGATTTACTATTGAAATAACACACAATCGTTTTTTTTTCTTTATCAAAGTAGCCCAATATGTACAAAATTGTAAAAGCGGGTGTAGCGTTGTTATAGCGCTGATGAGGTTTGCGAAAATAACAGTCAATAGCGCCGCTAATAGCATCACCGCTATTCGTTAACGCTATTTTAAAATAACGGTTTAGTAACACCGCAAAACGCTATAGCGCCGCTATAGCAATGCTATAGCGCACTATTGATAGCATAGGTTATATATATATATATATATATATATATATATATATATATATATATATATATATATATATATATATATATAGAGAGAGAGAGAGAGAGAGCTAGGTTCAAATGTTTCTACCAACTATTGTGTGCATGTACGCACCAATGAGAAATAGTGAAATAATAAATCTTTAAATAAATTATGTAAGGGTATTATAGTAATTTTTGCATGTTTAATTATGATAATTCATTAACTTCCTCAAACCTAGTTTTCTCCCCTCTTTATCTTCAAACGATCGCCCTAAAAAACCTGTAGCCGCACCTTAATCGGCAACTTGAATGTTGTTCCTCTACCAACCGACCATCAACGATTTCCTCTCCTCCCATCCCTAATTTCAATTTAATCCTTCTGTTGGCAAATTAGGTCATCCCTGAGATTAGCCTACTTAAATCGAGTGCACGCTTAAACCAAATTGAATCTTCCAACTTCAAGGGGTAACAACATCGTACGCCTTGAGTCTCTCTCACCAAGCGAAGAAGCTTCGACATCTCATTCCAGCCACCGTTTCCTTGTTTCTCCATTTATCAGCTCCTGCAATTGGCTCTCTTGTATAACAACATAATATAGGTATATGATTTGATTATTACCATTTTCATGGGGTTACTCCTGCAATTGGCTCTCTTGTATAATGACCACTCTGTTTGTTTTAAATTTACATTTTCTCGTAAGTTGCTTAGGTGGATCTATCAAAAGTATGTTGTTGAATAAAGACCTGTACAGTTGTAATTAGTCTTTTTAATTGCGTGAATTTGAGATGTTTCAATTCTTTGCTGCCTAATAACCGATGTTGGATACATATCATGCATTCCAACTGTTCGACGAAATGCCAGTAAGAAAAAAAATGATAGATGAAAGGCTTTTCTTGTTTGCAGATACAATTGAACAAGGTAACATATTTAATTGGCATGTTCTTTTTATAAGGAGCAATAATAATAATAATAATTGTTGAATTGCATATGTTTGAAAGTATAAGAGAAGAATGATGGTTTATGGCTATTATTGTAGTTAATTCTTTAAGAATATTCAAAACCATTCTACAAGAATAGTTTATTCTGTTAGAATATTGTTGTTGTATTCTGATAGAATTGTAGTTAATTATTTGTATATTAATGTGCAGTTGTTACAAGTGTATCACTACAAATTACTTGGCAATAAATTTCTGATAGAAATGGCTTGAAGACCTAATGGGAAAGGCTTGAAGAATGAATTAAAGAATGATCACACTCATTGTTTAAGAATGTGGTTATTTTTTATGAATTATACTTGTTATTCTTTCAAAATGTTTGTTATAATTCAATGAATCACAATCATACAATGTAATTATTTGGTATATTATTAGTTCAAGAATCGATTTTGTGTATTCTTTCATAATGTATTTACTAGTTTATAGTTGACATTCTGTCATTCTGACAGAATAAAATCGAAAAATATATTTACTACTTTATTGCTAACATTCTATAATTCTGACAGAATAAAATCGGATTTTTAATTTTGAATTAATTTAAAATATTCAGATTTTTAAAAATAAAGGATTTAATTATCCATAAAATATGAAAATTTCCTTTTTTAATATAGGTTAATTGACTAAAATATCCTTATGTTGAAATTTGTGTGATTATATGGGGGAAAATGACTTAGGAGGGTAACTACCTTTTATCCGTGTTCACATATTGGCAACTTCTTCTTTTTTGTACATAATAAAGCAACTAACTTGTTTTAACTGTTTAAATTACACCATTATTACCGGCTAATACCTGTTTTAACCGGTAACTCAAAAGGAAAATGACTTAGGAGGGTAACTACCTCTTATTCGTGTTCACATATTGGCAACTTCTTATTTTTTGTACATAAGAAAGCAACTAACTTGTTTTAACTGTGTAACATCCTAAAAATCATGACCAAAAATTTCGATTTTAATTTAATACTAAAACCATTATTGTCAAACCGTTAATTTAATACTTCGGCATTAAGCCTCTCCCGGCATCAGGCCCCACCTGACATCGAGCCCCGATCGGTATACAGATTTGTCTCTCTTAGGCCCCGCCCGCTAAACACATACAATCATATAACATGCTAACACATAAAGAAACATACTCTACTGTATCACTGTCCTAAGAAACATACTCTGCTGATAATAAGATATCCGTACTCAGATACTTCCAGCCAAGACTTCAGCAGTGCAAGGTGAGTCTCCTCACTGTGTGAGTGGGTCTAAGGCCACAATGTCAGCCCATATAGTCTATGAGTAGGAAGACCCGGGGGTTAGCCCTAGGCATTGTATGCTTGTATGTTATTCCAGACCAAGGTCTGATGTCGGCCGGGTGCCCGAGGAATGTTTGCATGTTAGATTATACTTGTTGTCTGTGTGATACTTGTATGTGTCTAGTAGAGAGGTGAGTGTGGGCGAGGTCCCGTATCTCATCACTAGCTGAGTACGGACGATGTTCCGTATCTCATTATTAGCAGAGTATGTCTCTTAGGACAGGGATACAGTTGAGTATGTTTCTTTATGTGTTAGCATGTTATATGATT